CCAGATGTTTTGTTTTAATTATTGGTAGCATGCGAGTTAATAGGAGCGACTCGTAAACCTTCGAAGGAATCGGTAGTAGACTGATAGGTCTGTAGGATTTAGGATCTTCCAGAGCCTTGTCGGGCTTAGGGATCATTATTATTTTGGCTACTTTCCACTGTGGAGGGAAAAATCTGAGTCTTGTCATGCTGTTATAAATGGACGTGAGCATAGTCATTCCAGAGTCTGGCAGTTCGGCCAGCAGCCTACTAGTGATGAGGTCGAAACCGGGGGCCTTCTTTGAGTCAATCTTTTTTATAGCCCGTACCACTTCATTTTTATTGAAATTGGGCATGTCGTCATCTATTTCTGCGCTTGAGTCTTCCTCCGCCAAGTAGTTGGATACCTCTCTTTCTTGTTCGGGGGTACCTTCATTTGGATGGGGTTTGAAAACGGATTGTAGGTGGACAGAGAAAGTGTTTGCTTTTTCGGCATCAGTACGAGCCCATCTCCCGTCCTGTGCACGCAAGGCTGGGGAGGATTAAAATATAGCTTAGAACACTATCGATTAAATCACTTACTATCCATTTGGAAACTATGAGGCCAAAGACGGACACACAAATACACATATAATACCCATCATTTTTGGAGATAAAAAGTTTTCCTTAACTTTATTACATACAAAGTAATAAATAACGACAAAAATACCATCCAATTAAAAGTATAACAAGCAAATATACAACCATTTATAATATTTCTGTACAAATCAACACCTCCATCAATTTGACTCGAATAACAATATTTTCCTGTAATAAATCTTTCAACTCCATCGATGTCTCGTCGAATAGAGATAGTGACGTCCCACTACTCGATGTCCGAGCACAACAAGACTACGGACCATTCCCGTGGGCGTATCATACATCATCTCGCCAAATTAATTCCGAAAATAAATCTTATGAAGTAAAAGAAAATATTCTTAATGCATACTTTGATGACAAATACAGGAATGGAGTGATGTTCCTAATGTTAAAAATGTCACCTATTTTTTTTCGTCTGACAATACATAGTTTTTATAGTGAATTTCAGGAATTTTATTCGCTATTAACATTAGCGGCTGTTTACGATTTGTGAGATTTATTTTTGGTTTGAATGGTACTAGATCGTAAAAATAGAATTAAATAGTTTAAGCCGGGTTTATCTAATATCATACGTTGCTGCGGTTTAAAATATTCAAAACATGAAAAACGACAATTTCGATTTTTTTTACAGCCATATTTTTAAGTAATCTATAAATTTAAAAAAAAAAAAACAAAAAATGCCAAAAGTATTGAATATTTATTTAATGTAATTGATCTTTTTATTAGTATAATCTTTAATTTCTTTCTTTAGTTTCTTTACGCATAAGGCAATACCCTGTGTTGTGGTCCTAATACTGTCATAAATAATTCCGTGCCGAAACAGCATTGTATTCGATACGAGCGCGTGTTTAATCGATTATGTTTAGGTATCGAATACCAACTTCGATGTTTGTGATTTAATTGACCTTTCGTAATACGATTCCTACGGATTTTGGTTTTAACATTTTGAATGTAGCACGAAAAGTTAGGCAGCTCATAACTCATTTTTGAATTGAAACACATTGAAACATTTTTGAAAACCACCTCTTTTAGTTCTAACAGATATCGTACTATCATGAGAGATTTATTTCAGAATAAATTCTTTTAAAAAATATTTAAAATGCCGGTTAAAACCAGCAATTCTCCGCAGTTCCATCGGCGCTTATGGGCACTACTTCGCTTCTAAGAGTCGTAGCATGATGTATGCCCTCAATTAATACCGTACCTAACACAAAAACAATTTTCTAAAATGAATTGGTAGTTTTAGAGATAAACGAGACAAAACAAATATACAAGCAAACAAAAACTCTTCAGCTTAATACATTTTAGTCTAGATTAGTACCAGCGTGTTCAAACATATGGAAAGCTACTAAGTTATAATAAATTTATATTTTTTTATATACAAGGCAGGAAATCGTAACTCGGTTTAATTTAAATACTGAAGGGAATGCCATTACAGTCCCTCTTTCTTTTCAATTTAACACTATAAAACGGAGCGATAAACGTAATCGAACATTTGTTTCCGAGAAGCACCTACCTATAGGTAATAAAAAAAGCTTATTCAGGTTGAAGAGGGGGAGTGTGACCGCATTATAATACTAAAACACGAGCCGACGTTTCGTTACTTGTATGATCCTATTGTTGTCCGTCTGTCCATCCGCATCAAATACGGCCATAAATCATATTCGTCGTAAATTCGATACGAGTTACAATGAAAGATCTGTTCATATTTGAATTTCAACGATTTTCGTGTGTGACATTTTGTATTTAAATAATTGTATGAGTACTTTCAAAACTGGGTACGGAAATTTTACATGTACCTCGTGTTATGATAATGTCGATAAAGGAATGTGTTGTGAAACTGTGTACAGACTGCCGAACTGCCCAAAATTGTAAAAAAATAAACAGCGTTTTTCCTTGGTAATTACTGAGTATTATAGAGTTGAATCACAAATTGCACAGTAGCTATTGTTGCGTGGTGGGCCCCACACATCATCGAATGTTTACGCGACAAGCACGTACGTTTTACTTTGTCGCCAGCGACATCTGCTCTACTCACTAACTATATATCGATGGAAGACACATCTCTATTGCTGACGGTATAGGGTCTAAAATCGAGAAATAATTCGTCAAGTGCAAAGAGACTAGCCTATCAAACGTGCGGTTAATTTTAATTTGTAACTACAAGCATTTTCAAGAAGCATATTTATGTCACTCTTAAATCAATATAACTATTGCTGATTGGATTGATTTAAATATCTAGCAGCTCCTATATTAGCTTGTAGACATCGTCATAGCCGTAATGCGAACAACTTCATCGGGGGTCTTGTAAAATGACCAATTTGTTATCTAACAAAAACAAATACGAGAGTGACCACCTACACAAAACCAGAATCAAAACCAAAGAAAAATCTACTTTGGCCGAATGTCTTTAAAGTTTTTATTTATAAGCAGATCACTCAGAAGTCGAACAAAAAAGTGATAAGTCCTTTGTAATCCTCCTGACGCCACAGAGGCTTACTTCAAGTTAATTGCTTTGGAATAGTTTTTTTTAGGTAAATGTTTTATTATTGTATGCCGTCTACCTGAATTGGTGGACAATATCATGCAATAGATATGTAGACGTAGAAAAAAAGTCGTTAATTTGCCGCCTGACTCATGATTTAGCAATGTTATCAATACTACGGAATTTATTTATCGAATCTGATAAAGACATTCCATAGTATTGAATATTTGTTTTGGTTTGGTCATGTGCTTAATTAAGATTTCATTCTACTTTCAAGCTATCTGCAATAGACTAATACATTTTAAATTTTCAAGTCGATATCGTAGGTATATTTTACCTGTTTTATAATAACTTTTATATTTAGTTGAATTGTGCCATCGCCCAACATGCAATTTAGTACTATACTGTCTTGCTTATTAAGTCTACAATTATTTTGCTTCTACATTTCGTTTTTCTATTCTCTATGCGCTGATATTTACACTAATTTCATGAAAAAATAAACGCAAAAAAGGAAACTTGACGGTTAATCTACAGTATAACATACAAATTATTTAGTTTATCAATTCACTTTTTAGTCTAGATCTCTCACAATTCACAATATCAGTCTAGATCTCTCACAATTCACAATTTCAGTCTAGATCTTCAGACACTATTCAAGTTTTTTAAAATTTCAAACTTGGAATAATTTGCCAGGCAATAAGCATTCCACAGAGAATTGTCTAAATAGCCGCCATAAACTAATATTGTAATCAAAAATTAAAACATGAGTTACACAAAACTGAATATGGAACAATTGACAGCCCTCTTTTATGGCTCAGAACATTTGTAAGAGTCGGCGACGGTCGGGCCGGCCGCCGGGTAATTCCACAATAAGAGCTTTTACTTTAGCCGACATACCCTATTGTTTCCTAAGTTTCCCGTCAAACATCCCAATTTCTTTTCAATATACAAAGCCCTTATAAAATAAAAAAAAGACTAGCCGCCAATATTTTTTTGAACTCTTTATTACAACTCGTGCTATTTTCTCAGAACTGAAAACGATTTTCTAAATTCTGTAATTGTGACTAATGACTTTGAAATTTTAAATCGAAGCCATTGTTATTGACAATGTCATCTTTAAATGTTCCAAATTAAATACGTACCTATTTATTGCATTTATCTTGCAACAAAGTTTCGGATTTCAAATAAAAAACTTATACATCGGTAATAAGCTAACATGTAACTGCTGTAACAGTTGAACTCAAACGTAAATTTACCATAATAAAACCTTTGACTTTAATTTAACCTCAAGTTTTTAAACTTATGTCTAAAACTTTTATTGAAAGACTTCAAAGAAGTTTTGAATAAAATTAAAAGTTTTATAAATCTAAAATATGTAACAACTCCTCGCCTTATTAAACTCGTTACTCTTGGTTCAAATAAATGCGTTTCAAGTTATTAAACGGCTGTGAGCCAACAAAGGACTATTCTGGTAATGTCAACATGCGTTTCCGTCGCAAACGAGGCATAAGGAAACAAATGAAGTAAAACAAATGATTCGCAACATTGTTAACCGATTCATGAGACGATATATGAATCATGATTAGTATACCATTGATATTCGAATGAAATTCGATAGCATTCGAAACTATTTTTTGTAAAACTATTTATCCTAGAAAGTACCTATTACACTTGGCTTTGTGGACCTAAAGTGATTATAGCTTTTACTTTAGCCCCAAGAACATAAATAAACGTGATTAGATTTCTTTTAATAACAATTAGGTATTATAAACAACAAAGTCTAGACCAATACAGATTTTTAAAGAACAGCGCTAAATATCGATTGAACCGACACGAACGTACAACAACTGTTACCAAATGCATCTGATCAAAATCAATTTGAGATTTTTGATATTCTGTCATACTACCCGCCATAACTCACGTTCAAATTGAAACAGATTTTCTCTTACATCTTCACAAGTGAGTACTACAAAGCATACTGAGACAGACATTCTAGTATTTGACGTATTTACAACAATTCCAGCTACGACGTAGCGATGCACTAGTGTGTAGTGGAGTGGTACTCCATCGATCGTGTAGCGGTGATTCGCCGCAATTTGCCGATCGCTAGATGACGTTTCGCGGAAGCAGAGTACCTCGTCACGCGGCGCCCGCGCACCAACCATTGGTATATAATTTATCGGCCATTTCACTGTAATTGTACCCTTGGTACCCTCCACTAAATCGTTCCAGAGCTGCGTGTACCACAACATTGTATAAATCCTATAATTTCATCTACAGCTCAATCAAATATGTATTTGTTTTTATTTCATTCATTCCGGTGTAATAGGCCATATGATGCGATTTAATTTCTAATAGCTTCAGTTTAAAATTATACAAATATAATAAAAGCAATACCATTTTTTTTTTGTCTGACGTAACTACAATAAAAAATAGTAAGTACATGACTTAGGTCAGAATAATAAAAAACAATACAGTTCAGACGGCCAAAATTCGGATATGAATAGTCTTCATATTACTGGAAGTAATCTTTTAGGTTCGAATCTCTGCTATGGGTCTTTATAGTTAACATAAATAGGAATTTTACTTAAAGATTCTCTACTGTTTGAGATAATAGTATCTTTGAATAATTTATTAATACTAAACACAAAACTTAAACATTAAATACTTATGCTTTTGTTTAGTTTATTCACTATAAATGGATAGATTAAGAAAGGAAACGGGATGATCGTAAGCGGTTGAAAAGCCAAGTAGTCACGGTACTTAACTCTAAGTTGTCCGACTCGTGGCCGGTTCCTAATTGTTATCGCCGGCTTTCTATTTATCCCGTGTGTTAGTGAACTTATTATAATCTTTACAATAGAGCCCTTTTTGATGTTAAAATGTATTTGCAGCTTTATTGACCGAGTGTGGAAAGTATTTTAATATTAACATGTCTGAACTTTTGGACCAAACGTTACCGTTATACTGGCTTTTGGACAATTTGTTTTTAAATCTTATTTTTTTTAAAAGAGTGCTTGTGCTGTTGCTCGCTACTCCATTAATATGTATGCTATCTATTCTTACATAAATAGTATTCCTTTGTTTGAACTCACTGATCTTTTAAACTCTCCAGAGTTTCTCATTACAAAAATATTTTTTTGAATTGAAATAATATAATACCTAAATGCTAGTTTTAAATAGAAAAGATTGTGAACGTTAGATATTCTGAATAAATTCATGAAAATGAGCATATAACGGAATGCTCATTTTCATCATGATCATCAGCCTATCGCAGTCCACTGCTGGACATAGACCTATCCCATTTCGATCGATTTTGATCGTTATGCTTTACCTTTATTAAAACATATACATCTCTATTCTTTTCCTACTGGCTTTGTTTCTGCTTTCTTCAAAAGTAAATACTTTCGACTGCTGACCTCGTAAATATTGTAGTCGTCCGGAAATATGTCCCAACAACTGTAGAAAAAAAATGCAAGCTGAAAATAACACGTTCAATCTCCTCGATCTATTTCATGAAACATTCACTAGTAATTTTGACACAATCGCACTAAAATAAGTGTATTGCGGGAAGTAATTGCGTGGTACTTAATTAAGATAATTGACCAATTGTCGTGGCGATTGTAACTCGCTGATGGACTCGAATCATACCTTGCTATCTTGATTTGTAACTTTAAATTCTTTAACCACGTTTTTTTTTGTTGGGAACAACATCGGCCAACCATGTATTGCCCCTATTGTTGGTTTTTATTTTGACATATTTTGGGGTGAATTATTTGGTGTTTTTAAGCAAATACAATCTTTTGTCAAAAAACCTACAAAAAAATAAAACCGTTGATTTCTCCTAGTACGTTGAAGTGAATTACGTTAATAAGTAGACCCAGTGCAGTAGTTTAAGGCTTCTTAGATAATGTTTTTTATTGAGCAATAATAAAATGTTCGACCCGGTGTTATTTGAAAATATTTAAAAGAAAAAGGAATCAACTTCACATTAGCCATAGTCTTGTAACGGTACAGAACCTACATATAAAGTGTCTAACTAAAAAGTTTTCTACTTTAAGTTAAACGGTTTATATGTAGATTTACTATTATTTATGAAGAATAATTGACATGATAACCATAAAGTAAAAGAACTTGGGGTTCAATTAGTATTATGCTTCATGTTTTCTGTCAGAACAGTTGAAGTTAGGTGTAATAGTAAATCAAAGGCTAGACCATAATAATAATTTAAAATTAGAACTAGGTAATAGCTGACACGCACAACTGTGTTTGCTTCTCTTAAAATAAATAAATCATCCCCGTTTTCGCAACATTTTTTATTCATATTCTTCTCCTCTTATATCCTTCCTCGATAAAAGGCCTAGCCAACACTAAAGGATTTTTTAGGCGTAGTAGGAAGCGGCGTGATGACCGCTTAAACCACTACGCCATCCGTGCAGTCAACAGTAGTTCCTGAGATTACCCTGAACATACAAACTCACAAACTTCATCTCTTTATAATATTAGTATATATTGTAACAGTTATGTTTATTAAAAGATTTGCCTTAAAGTGGAAAAAATTACACAATTCAAACTAATATTTAATAAGTATTACACCCACAGGTAGTGCTGGAATTAGACATACAGACAATGTCTAAAGTAACGTTGTTTTAAAATAAAATAAAATTTATTATTTAAACAAACAATGAATTTATAAAGTGTATGAAAGGCCGAGAATTGAAATAGTCGTATGTTGTAATGGACTAATTCCAGATAAATGGTATAACGTGGAGGTCAAACGGTTGGCTCTGAACTGTTTTATTATGCAGCCTATGTAATACAATACTGACATATATTTTATTTTGCTTTAATGCACAATAAAACAATCAAAACAAACTCATTTCTATAACAAGTTCAGTTTTATGTGTGTGTGTGAAAAATTCTTCTACTTCTCTAATATCATGCACTTCCACATCGTTGATAATGATTGCACTTTTTTCAATTTATAAGTTCTATGTAATGGGGAACACACAAAAATTTTACTTGTAGAATTATAACATCTTACTTACTATTTAGGATTGGTTTACACAAATAATAATAATAAAATAATATTCTAGAACACATGCTTCTTCTTCTCTGTCTAGTCGCTCTTGCCAGAGATGTCTACGTCGGCGGTAGAGGTGGGCACAGCCCTTCGTACAATCTCCCGACTGATATATACTGTCGGGAATAGTCAGACACGCGGCAGAAGACATTACACATCGCTATCTAGAACAAAACTACGCAGTCTGTACTACGAGTTTTACTTAACACGGATAAGCATATGTATAGATAGCTATTTAAAGCAAGACAGTAAAAAATACTACCGAATATCGAGACGCAGACGTCATCAAAATTCTATAAAATATAAATAGAAAAAAATAGAAAGTAGTAGTAAATGCGTTTAAGTATTTACTTCATCAAGTATGTTTTTTTTTTCAAATTCCTGTCTGGTTGATTTCTAATCTTATTGTAATGTTCGCATCAAGTGTTTACCCATTGGCCTATTTAAATGTCAACAAACGTTAATTCCCTCCTGCCGGTGACTAAGTTATAAATATATCGGCCACGATTAGCGTGTGCCTCATTAATCATTCGGTCTATAGTGTCAAAACACGTCCACGCACTCTCTGATCTTGGTACCATTCAAAAATTACACTTTCCAAACTCCTCTTGTGTTATAACACGAACGGTGGAAGCTAATTGCTTTTAAATTGAGTTTCTTTTATTTTTTTCTTCATTTAAAACAAGTAGGACACTTGAACTTTTCTATTTCAATTCAGTTTGTCATTAAAATTTGTCTTTGTGTCTTTATAATTTATTTTATTTATTATTATTACTATCGTTGATATCATCGGTTAAAGAGAATAAGACAACGAATGATATCAATTTTCAACTGGAAAAGTATCCACTAAAATACATAAAGCAATATTACATACACCTACACCCTGCATTAGTTCGATCTTAGATGCAGTTTAAAGTACTTAAGTAACATGCTAATATCGAATCCGATCATTTCGTTTTTTATGGATTTAAATATTATTTTATTATAAATAAGATGAAAGAAAAGGTCATCAACATATGTATGACTATTTTCAATCATCTAACATACTATTTTTAACAGTAATATTTTGTTCTGATTTAGATCTTTTTCTTGTTTAGCCACCAATTTTAGATAACCAATAATAAAGAGAGGACTAAGTTCGTAGAATTTTTATTCTTTTTTTTTTCTTTTTATGGTCAATAAAACCTATTTTAACTGTTTTTATTTATAGACCTCGTTTCTGTCAACATTTTTTTTTAAATTAAGGGTTGTTTTTTAAATTTTGGTTTGCAGTCATTTTTGGCTCATGTCTACTGATCTTACAAGTGTAAAGGTTTTAACTCTTTAATAGACTTGAATAATATCTAATCAGTAGTACCTTCACTATACGTTTATATTTATAAAGACTGGAATACAATAGCTCACATTTATTATTGGATTGCGGAAACGTGTTTGGCTCAGTTCCATCGTGTGGTTATTGTAAAACTTCCATTGATTTTATCAAAAACATTATGAGTTATTACTTCAAATTGTAAATTATTAGTATTTATTATTTGTTTCACAATTTCCACATACAATTTGATTACATCAGTTAAACTGTAGCAACAAACTCTAAGAACCATGCACGTATAAGTTAATTATGAATTCATCATTTTGATTTCCTTTGTTGTCACCTTCGCTACGATTATGAATTGATTTAGTACAGGTTTATTTAATATCTCCTCTATCTTCGGCCTCGTGCCAACATTTATAATAATTACATTCGCTCTCAATTAGTCCAGAGATAGAGAATAAAGCAATTCGCCATGTTTCAGCAATGGCTTTATGTGTATCATTGTTCCAACATGATGTATAGCCACTCTTTGATCAAAGGCGACTGCAACCATTACATTTGTTTCGCGAGAATGATATTAATCAAACACATTTATTGCGGTCGCATTCAAAATTAACTGCCGTATGTTAAATGTTAGTTCTCGGAACTCTCGGCTATCAAATATTTCCTACAATAAACCAGTTGGGCCAGTATACTCCCCAGATTCTCATTCTTGTGCCATCCTAACATAACATCCACAATAACATCCACGTCAAAATTCTGGATTGCCGCCAATGTTTTATGGACATTTATGATAGTTAATATACTAATGTCATTTAGTTATAATAACATCTCGTCAGTTGAACATTTGGTGCGCA